GATTTAGTGAGTGGCGTTATTCACAGGCGGTAGCGAGTGGCGTTATTAAATCGACATTCGATTTCGTATTATGATAATTTTATTAATAATGGAATACATGTACATTTTTAAAGATAAATAAATGATTATGTCAAGAATAGACGATACGTTTAATACCGAAACTAAAAAGAACACCAGAGGAACATTTCATGCAAAGTTGGCTGATAAAGCAGGACTTTACACAAAAAAACTGCTCCACTGAGCAACCACTCTGCTAGCGCTAGAAAATCAGATAACAGAAGAACCGGATCAATTTAAGCAGCGGGAAAATCACTGGGTTCATTACGTTTTATATTATATTTAAGTCTTAGGTTGTTGTTAGTTTTATTAAAAAAAATATTTCTAATAAGCTTATGATACAAGCACAAAATCCCAGTGGTCTCCATACGAAACTCAGCCATGTTTTAATTTAACACGATACCATCATCCCACTACTGTATGTTGAGTGGTGTGGGAAATTGCTCCTAGCTAAACTCATTCTATAATTAATAAACATAGCTAAATTAATTTCTCCATTATATGTATGTTATAAACGATTTATAGAATTAATTAAGTCATAAGGCAAGATGCGAACATAATCACGGGTAGAAGAAAACATATTTTGTGTTTTCTTAGACATATAGAAGTTATTCTGTAATGTAGTCAGTTAGTGCACATTCAAACAAAAATGAACGCTTAACGCCGATACTTTTACATGAAACAATGCCAATTTTGGAAATCATTTGAATGGAAATTATGAAAAACAATTCATAAATGAAAAACAAAGGAATTTTTCATTACGCATAGTAAAGAAATTAATTGGATTAAATCTGAAATTACACTGAAATGAATTTTGGATGGTCTGATGATCTAAGCAACATATTCAAAGTGGTTGGAATACCTCATTAGTTGATGAATTCCGGGCTAAATTCAGGAGTCGATCATTTAAAAATGCTGATGAGAATTTTTGGATATTTGAAAGGCTTTTTTATTACTTTTAATACGATAGCGATTTGGTTATGTGTTTTTTTTCGGACGCACGCTTTGGGGTTTGGGTAGCCTTGAAAAACTAATACTGGCAGGAAAACAGAAGATTACAGCGATCGCGGTCGCCCACTTTATAAAATAACATCACCTGGTGCTAAGTTATATTATTGTGTCATCGAATTATCGCTGTAAAAGAAATGGTAGACTGTATCTAATTTTGTTGTGGTCAAATTTAAAGGAATTTACTCTTTAGAAAATAGTTTAAATTTAGTACTGTTTAACATACTAAACGTGCTTTTAATAGTCTTTGGATCCTTTTGCTTCAATTTTATGTATTTAGGGTCCTATTTCCCGTAGGATTTGTAAACGTAACTGGGTCAATCATGTCGGAAATGTTTTTGTGGTCGAAGGTCAACGCGATGACATTTTTACGAGTCGTCTTTTACATCTGAAATTTAATAATCTTTATTTGTGTTGTAAAGCTTGTTATTCAAAATATTTTTATTATGATGAAATTAATTGCTTGTTGTGGTAGGAGATTAACTTAAGTTAGTCATTTTGCGTATTATTAGTAAACTCACAACACTTTCCTACGTCCGTACAATTGAAAGTTTGAGTTAATAACTTGAGGTGGGTGACAATTTTTCCTTATGGTCTTTATGAGCTCCGTTAGTCAATGATCAAAGTTTTGCTCAATTGCGAAAAATAGATGTCCTTTTTACGGAATTAATAAAAATCCACGCACAAAAACATTAAAAAAGCCTTTTAATTACCGTAAAATATATTGGGTAAATCTAAGTCTTAAAATATTAATCAATCTGCTTAATTCATAGTAAATATTTTTATGTTATCATTACAATATTCGAGTTTTTGATATCGAGTTTTGATATCGAGTTTTTGATCGCAGTCAGGAACCTAATACTTTTCGAAACTAGTATCGAGTAATTTTATCGCAATCGTCATTGTAGACAGTACATATTTTTATGTTATTATGCGATTTTTTTAAATTAATTTCTTTGTAAAATTGAGCGTTCATTTTTTAGTAGTAGGATAAATATGTCCTAAAAGAGGTGACTACTAGCCCTGAGCATAAACAAAATGCATACTTGTTTAAGTGGACTTTAATAGTAAATCCCAAAAAAAGTCGTTTAATAGGAAATCCCAAAAAAACATATTTTCATTCCCAAAATTTTTGTATTACCTAAAGTAACCAAATCGTATCATCTAATCCAGATAAAAATCTTCTTGTCGATCCGAGTATTGAAAATCAAGTTACGTGAAACGAAACTAAATTAATTGACTTTCACTGAGGGAACGTACTTACCGAAAATAGGCCGAAGGGGAATCATAATGATTGATACCAACAATCCCGCTTTGTGCTCCATTCCACAACTCTACACTTTGAACTTTGTGGAGCATAAATAACCGGGCTTGAAACGAAGCTCGGTCTCCCTTGAGGTAGCCCGAGGCTAGTTGCTCCGCTATTTTTCACTAGGCTACCGGGAGGCTGACCCATGAATGGTTATGATTTGGGAGTAAAATATTTTTTCGCAGCTTCAGTTTAGAAACTTTAAATTACCAATTACGATAGGACTCTTGAGGAATGTGATAATGGAGATAAAGAGTTTATCTTAGGAATTGCAAACGCTTTTCCGTTAGTTTTAGTGTTTCTAGTTTACGATGTTTCTATTCCATCTAATATTCTATGTAAATACTTTGATCCAGAGATGAGAGCTCTTGTCTATTCATCGTACGAATATCCTCTTTTCACGTCACCATTGTTTCTATCACTCATGTATAGGAGAAGAATATATAGCTAAGATCCAATTGCCACAAACGGTGATATGTTGAAGCTTAATTTAACAAAATCTTGACTTATTCTATGTGAATTTTAACTTAAATTCTGAGATTATTATTAGATTTATGATTGTGTACTCACACTATAAAATATTCATATCCAGTTTGGCTGATGCTAGCGTTTCTGAAAATGACTGGCACATTTTGCCGAAAATCTTAAAGATCTAGGTCACTCCTATATTTGAGGCGAGTATGAGGGGCCCTTTCAAAATCTTTCGACTGTACAATGTGGACCACATCTTGCTTTAAATTTCACTACGAAATACTCGATTTTCAAATTCGGCAACAAAATTCTATACTTACCTATTTGAAATTTCAAGAAAAAAATTGCTAAAATCTATTTATATTAAAAAAAGTGCCAGATGATCATCATTAGTGAGATAGAGTCTAGTGAGATGACCTACGAGAAAAGTAGCGAGATAGATCAGCTGCTTTAGTTTTATACGCCTTAATACAAACAATTACTGGTAGGATAACTTATCAGTCTGTACGGGTAGATACCATCACCCTGCCTTTTTCTGGCCTGAAGCAGTAATGTGTTCAGGGCAGCCGTTGTATTTTAAAAACAGATCTTTGAACCCATGTCTCAGGGTGAGTAGCAGGATTTACGTTGTTGATATTTGTAGACTCCGGTAACCACTTAGTACCAGGTGGGCCGTGAGTTTGTCCACCCATCTAAGCAATAAATAATCCAGTCAAATACTTTTGCCTGGCTACTCATGATAAATAAGCCAATTTACACCTTCGATTTTTTTTAAATAAAGTTTTTGAAGCTCAACCTCTAGTATCTATCTACTTAGTGTCGTTATCTTTAGTTTTTATTTATTTTCGTTAATTAGTTTTGTTAATTCTGAGGTTACCTATTAAAATACAGTTTTGAAGTAGTTTTTATTAAGTATTATTATATTTTGTTTGAGTTCTATTATAAATTTTGTCAAAAATATATGAATGTATATTAGTAAATCAATTAAAATAAGGAAAAATAATGTAAACATTGAACTCCACTCAATCTCATTAAATCTATTTAACATAAAATATTTTGTACAGGATCTGTTTTTTCTACGATGCTTGATTGCCGTTAATATTAAAAAGGCCTATTTATTATTATTCTGATATTTTTTTCAATTTCTTTGTAAACAAGCAAAAATTAATTATGCGTAGTACGTGAGGAGTTTCGTTTAATGGAACTTGTAGGTACTAACTGTCATTGGCATATTGTTTATCCTGAAAATCAATTTTGTATTCTGTTTATTAGACGGTTATCACATCGATGAGTGATTCAAGCCGTGATGTCTGAAGCCACAGCCACAAAGTTGGGTTAACTTGGGCTAAGTTGGGTAACTTCTAAAAGAATTGGTCTCGGGTCTCGAATTAACGAGGGCATAATACTGCCAGATAACCCCGACAAGTGAACGCAAAAAGGATTTTAATTAATTAAAAGGTAAGTTCATATTACGAGTAAGTCATAAGTAAAATCGTCATGGAAGTCTGTTGGCCGCCATAAAATTATCCTTACGGCTTCAAGTAATTTCTTAGGACCCACTAGTAAAGCTGTCGTAAAACAATTGGGAATACGCTAGATGAGGAACAAAGAAATAAAAGGTTTTATTATTGTTTCGCGAGCATCTAACAGAATTTAAATTCAATTATATTACAGTCTTAGTAAATTTACATGTTGATCAAAGCCAGATCACTTATTTTAAAATAATTTATCGAAATTTTACAAAAACAATACTTATAATATAATGTTTTAATGATATTTTGTTTTATAATGTTTCCCAATCAAATGAAACATCATCATGGTCATAAAAAAAATAATCTTCAGAAAGTTGCACCGACCTCTTATCTCAATTATTGGGATATTCAATCAAAATATTCCTTTTTCTTTTAATTAATTCTTTATTATTTGCGAAACAAAGGACAATGTTAAGTATTGTTCACAATAGTAATTTGATCAACAAACCATTCGTTCAAAGGTAACGTGAGACTGCCATTACCGGAGAATACTTAGAATCGTAAATAAGCAAAAGGATGTTGTCGAATTCTTCAAATGTACACGTGGTCACGTCTCATAATGTCACAATTGCAGTCGAACATTCAGAAGTACTCAGCACTGACGTATTGTAAAATATATGAAAATGGTCCGTAAAGTTTATATCATTCTGTTGACTTTTATCCTAATGGATCTTGCTTTGGTAAGTCAAGTTTTTGTTGTTCATTGCAGTATTATGTATATTGTAAAATAAATTTACGAACGCGAAAAACGTGTTATTAAAGTCTATAGTACCATAACGCGATTTATTTGTATTTTTTTTATCGCTATTGTCCGACTTCAAGTATCTCGGCTCTATACTCCAGAACGACGGCAACATAGACTGGGACGTAGCAGACCAAATAAACGCTAGTTGGGTGAAATGGCGACAGGTCTCTGCAACAGTATGCGATCGTAGAACGCCCCTTCAACTCAAGGGAAAAATTTACAAAACGATCATTAAGCCTGTCGTGCTGTATGGCTCTGAATGTTGGGCAACGAAAGTAAAGCATGAAAGAGGAGTGCATGCGGCAGAGATGCGAATGTTGAGATGTATGTGTGGAGTGACAAGAATAGGCAAGATAAAGAATGAGTATATCAGAGGAAGTGTGAAAGTAGCCCCGAAAATATACAAATTAAAGAGCGGACGGTGAGCATGGTATGGACATGTAATGCGTAGAGAGAAGATGTGACTAGGAAATGTATGGAAATGGTAGTTCAAGGTAGAGGGGGAAGAGGTGGACCGAAGAAGACATGGATGGAGTGTGTGAATGACGATATGAGAGAGAGAGAAGTGAATATTGAGATGACGGCTGATAGAAGAGAATGGAAGAGAAAAATTAGCTATACCGTCCCCACCTAGTGGAATAAGGTGGAGAAAAAGAAGAAGAAGAAGTACGCAGATGAAGGTATGATCTGTCTGATCACTAGTCACCACCATTCATTGAAATTAGCAATACCAGAGGTATGTCCAGACATCTGGATACTACTGCAATCTCTTCTAGCCTCGTTAGAACAATTACATGTCATAGCGCTCGAGAAACAGTGCGGAGGCAGTTTATTCCAAAGCCGGTTGGTGGCAAGGCTTTTTTCCGGAAACGCATTGTGTATTAACACAGCAGCTTCAGTATGGCTGAGCTCGGATGACGGGCGATACGGTAGTATTGCTAGTTGACAAAGTGATAGTTCGCGTCTTATTCAGAAAATACACGTATAAATTAATTACTACAGCTACTTTCCTGTAAAATTATCTCTAATTATACTTAAATATTGATAGTAGCAGTACTTTCAGCGTAAAATTTATTCATGAACACGTTTAACGTATTATTTTAAGCTCTTAATGGAAAAAAAATCACGGCCCAACTAACGTAGTAGTTACAGGAGCTTACAACGTGATTGTTGCTAATTGCGTTGAGACGTGATTGATGTTTAAGTTTGGTTTGGTAAAACTCTTGAGTCAACCTCTCCAAGTAGAACGACTGAGTACTGTCGTACGGCAAAAATAAGCGGTATCGAGCTCATAATCCTACAATCAGTACCTAAAATTGCTTACAATACTTTTGTTCTTTTCACCTTTCACCGAACCTCACTTAGAGAAAATTGATATCTTTGTCAAATCAAATCATGGAGCGATTTCATTACTGAATACAGCAGACGTCTGCATTAGCTCCTGACGGTTAAAATATGGCGTTGAAATATCAATTTAGTTCATAAAAATCTACAATGGAAATTGAATTGTAAAACTTTGTATATACCGAATTTCAGGTCAATGCTCTTACGTACGATAAGAAAACCCTGGACGGAATGGTGTTAAAAACTCTCTGGACAAAAGTATATACAGGATACGATCCTAAAGTGAAGGAGTTGGCAATTAATACATTGAGAAAGACAGGAGATTACGACAAGCTGATTGTACATCTAATGAAGGTGAAAAAGGAGAAAGTTCAGAAAATACTAAATTTGCTGTCGGAAATTATCATTACATACATGAATTGATTTTCTAATAAAGTACCAGTATTTTTTTATTATTATTTTATTGAGTCTATTCTAACTTTTCCCGCGTAACGTAACGAAGGTTCAAAGATTCAAGAGACCGTCGTTGCTCCTTGAGATTCTTATACGTTCTTCAGAGAGCAATTTTACCTTATTAAACTTATTTACTTTTGTCTACTAAAATACATTTATGGTTTCGTTCTTCAGCTCACGCTACATCAGATATTAAAAATTTATACAAAACATGTTGAACATAAAGTTGATAAGGTAATATAAAGTGTACACAGGGCACATTGGAACCAATCCGGCAGGAAACAGGAATATCATTAGCCTAAAGTAAACTGTAAAAGTTACTCAAGAAACAAACCAAAAGTCCTCAATTGTGAATTTTTAATTTGAAAGCCATTTATGTTTTGTGAGAAACGAAAAGATTATAGGATCACTTCTGCTTGATATCCAAGACCGTTTTTCATAGGAAAGAGTAGAGGTGTCAACTTGTAATTAATATCATGTAAAAATCAAGTTTTTATCAATCATGTTATAAAACATATAATTAGTTGGGCCATAAATACTGTTACAATGAAAAATTAAAAAAAATCTATTGCAAATAACATTTATTACTTTTACAGTGTGTTAGTTTAATACATAAATATAAAACAATTTAAAGTATAAAAAGCTTATTCGAAGTGGTCTCCATTGGCTGTAATACAGTCCTTTAAACGTTGAAGCCAGTTATCAATAGAAGCACGTACTCTTTCCATGGGAAAAAATTTCACTGCCAATCGTACATTGGATTATATCGGATTGTTTTAGGGACTCCAAATTATCATGTCGTTTAGAGCAAGCCGTACTCTCTAAAACTGACCATAAATCATAAACTAGCGGATTAAAATCGGGGCTAGACGACGGCCAGTCTTCAGCTCTGATGAAGTCCGAAACGTTCGTTTCCAACCAAGACTGCGTAGACCGAGCTTTACGACCTGGCGCCGAGTCTTGCTGGAAGGACCATTCTTGATTATTGAACATGGTATTGTTAAGGGGCTTCACTACCTTCTAAAGAATGGTATCTTGATACACTTGTGCCGATGTTTTGATACCTTTTTCACAAAAGTGCTCAGTCGCTCCTTCATAGCTAATACCCCACCAAACCATCACTGAAGTCGGATAGTGCCCACGTTGCACTCTGTCGACTAATTGGGAAGCTTCTTTAAAGCTTTGAGCATAAATACGGTCATTTTGTTTGTTAAAATGTTGCTCAATTGTAATAATTTTCTCATCCGTAAACAAAATTTTTCTATGACCTCCCTTTGCGTACCGCTTCAGTAGTTGTTTCGATTTTACCACCCTATTCTCTTTTAAATTATCAGTTAAGAAATGACTAGTACGTCTCTTATTGGCTGCAAGTCCTAAGTCATCTTTTAAAATACGCGACATGGTTCTAGGTGCTATCTTCATCTCCCGAGATAAAATATTTTGATTTCGGACAGGATTTCTTCGAATTCTTTCCCTTACTGCTTTGACCACCTTTTTCGTACGAACACTACGTGGACGGCCAGATCTTTTTCTGTCACAGACAGAGGAGGTCTCATTGCACCTATTAATAGCCCGGTACACAAACATTTTACTAATACCAAGCGTATGGAGAGTTTTAAAAATTGCATTTGGCTCCATACCTACTTTGTGTAATGCAATCACAGCGATTCGGTTCTCTTTATCACCCCACTCCATTTTAATATCGCAAAATATTGTACAATGTATTGGCGCCAAAATGAGAAAACTCAATGAGCAATCATATAAAAATGACAGATTCCAAATTCAAATGTAATATTTTGTTTGTTTTTAATTGTAACAGTATTTATGGCCAGACTAAGTATATTGATATTTTTTTCCTACCAGAAAGCTACATTTGTTATTTTGACATGTAAAGATAAAATATTTAAATTGATTAAGAATTACGAAAAAAATATTTGATTACCTGAACCATTTCTTCGGTATTAAAAATTATAGTCTTCTTATCAATGCTTTTGTAATAAGTTTTACTTGTGACATTCCTTTTAAATGGCTTTTGTTTAACTGTTTGATCAACTAGACAAGCGACGTGAATATTGTACGAATTTCTAAATCTTGAACTTGAACAATGCTAATTATCTTTTTTGTATGCATGTGTTTCTTTTAGTAATATAAGTCGTAATTTTAAGTACATTATCTTGGGAATAAGATACAAGAACAATATTTGAAATGATTAATTATATTGGAGTTTTATTATGACACCGTACAGGTGGGTATCACCATTCTACCTAATGCTGCCACGAAGTAATCATGCATTCCAGCCTGATGGGCGGTACAACCGTCATACAAGTCAGATTTCGGCATCATATTTCAAAGCGGGTGGCGTAATTCACGTTATGATGCTTACGAGCTCTGGTAGGTCGTGAGTTTGTTCACACATAAAAAGCATATAATGAACCAAACATTAGGTGTCATACTGCATTAATTCTTGAATTCATTAGACGTTCCTTTATATAAACAACTTCTAATTGATTCTTTGAGAGTCTTTTTGATTCGAAGAGCCTTAGTTTACACCCGAAGCTTATAGATTGGAGATTTAAAGGGATATCTCTAGTTTTTAAATTGTGTTATGGATTCCATGTGTTTTTCAGCGAAAATTCATTTATTAGTTTGAGCTATAGCCAACAAAGGAATGAAGAAATCGTTCGCTTTACAAGAAATTGAGATCCAGTATCCATATTTATGTTGAGCGATAATTAGTCTATATTATATTGAAGTAATAAGATATTTGTACTGTTCAAATCGGAATTCGATGATTTTTAATACCTAAACGAGCAGGATCAATTTATCCCCTAGTCTGACTTCATGGCTTCTGTTCCACCGTTTACAGCTTTATAATCCTGACATGAACAGTTGAGTTTTACCGAATGTGTAACATCAAAAACTTGTAATTCTCGTTAGGTGTCTTTGTGTATGTGTTTCGAGTATTTTTTAATTACTCCCGCCGTAAATCCACACTTCGTTTAAATTTAAAACCCTTGATGATGGATGTTTTGATGAAACTTCTGTAAATAATTAAAAAAATAAAATAAATTAATTAAAAAGTTTGGGATATCAAACATAAAAAGACTAAAAATCAATAAGTGCACGATAAAGCCTTTTCACCACAAATTTAAGACGATACAGAGAAATAGAAACTGTAGGCTCTTTGTTATACAGTCGTTTTCAGTAGCATGCATTTCAAAGAGTGAATCGTTGGTGCTGTAAAAACGTGTTTCCTCTCATAGTGTGATATGTGTTTGCCAACTACCAGACGAGAGGACTCAAGTGGTCGGCAGAACGCTCCTCGCTGAATAAATATGGATACGTTTCTCTTCAAAATGTTCGCAAATGCGACTGTATTGTATAAAGTTAACATAAAACACGCACTCCCTCGAAAAAATGGAAGAAAAATGTTTGGCTTGATAGAGAGGAAAAAAATCGCGCTATCCGAATGAAAACTTGAGCTATATATACCCTTTCAAGAAAAATATTCAGTATAATAAAATGTTCTTTGATCTTAAAATTTAAGAGAAACACGCAACAAGGATACATCTATTGGACATATTTAGATTAAATGATCTTATTATACTTATATGTAATAAATACGTGCTTAAAGTCTATTTCTTGGCTTACTTCCATTCCTAATATTAATACATCCTATATATCACATCCATAATTTATAGACTGTAATTGTTTGAGTTTCGAACGAAAATTAAAGTACATACTAATGTATTTTTTTTTATTAACAGTGAATAATTCAAACAAATACTAAAATTCAGTTTTCATTTTCCATAAACTGTATGTAATAATTTCACCTACTTCAAGAAGAGCGGCCGTTTCGGTTGAACTAACTTTATCATTTCATTTTCGGTATATTTCAATGCTTGAATGCTTTACACCAAACGAAATCATAGACTATAAATTCATTTTACCCTCGCTTCTTTGTGTCCTTTTGACACTCTAAGCACAAACAATTTCAGTATTCGATACGCTCGTGACAATCACAGACCTATCTCACTTGTAAAATAAACGCAGTTGTAAAATTTAAATTGGAATATATCGTTTTATTTTCACTTGCTGTCAGCGTAACGTTTCCATTGTCTGAAAATGATGAAAACACGTGTACAGGGCGCGTACAGACCCTCATCTTAGCTGATAGGCTGCACTGTAGTTATATGTGTAGTTTCCGACGAAGGGTTTGTCCTTAGCGTTTTCCTATTTTACGACAAGAAAAAAAAATGTAAATAGAGCACGAAGGTAATGAACGACGTAACTACGCATAAACAAGATCATCAGATACTGTAGATAGAACTAAAGTGATGTAACGAAATGAAATTTTAAGATTAATTTTCTTTGTAGTTTTTCTTAATAAACTGTAATAAGTAGATGAGATCGTAATCCACGAAAACACGAACTTGGTAGCAGCTTACTCTTCAAGCCAGTATATGCAATGGAAATACTGTCTCTTTCAGACCACTGACGTCCACTGCTGGACATAGATATCTCCCAAGCCTCGCCACAATGACTGGTCCTCTGCTACCTGCAGTGGCTAATTTCCACGACTTCCAACAGGACGTCTGTCCACTTTGTGGGAATCCTATTCCTGCTACGTCTTCTGGTATGCAGTCGCCACTCGAGAACCCACCACCGAGAGTCCAGCAGCCATCTGTTCTACGAGTAAAGTGTTCTACCCACTACTATTTCACTTTGAAATTCTAAATTCGCTTCTTCCGCTTCGCTTCAGGTGATCCGTTTGCTGTTTCGCTTCGAGTAGTTCCGATTACTGACTGACTGTGTGCCATCCCTGCAACGCTTTTATAGTCGATACCACATCCCTAGAATTATCGAGAATATTCCACACATCGCTAGTATTGTGTTTCCACTATCTGACAATAGATGGCATTGCACTTCTCGAGCGTTCTAGGTGCTACTAAATCCTTCGATATTCGTTC